ACCACTCATGAGTGAAGACTGGCCATGGGAGGGCTCTAGCCTCACTCTCCTGGACCTCCTCCCATGGAACTGTACCACAGTCCGACCTTCACAGAAACGGCCCCTGGGATGGGTATACTCTCCTCCGAAGTCATCGGAGAAGAGTGTGTCAGCCGGACAGGCACGCCCTACACCCAATGGGTGGGAGACACCCCATGCAGGAGAACCCAGAACTTAAATGGCTCGTTTCTCAGCTGGCGGCCAAAAGCCCCGACCTGGTATTGGAGCCCTAGCGTCAATTCTACCTCATGTTCCATCTTAGATCCCAGCCCCTCCATTGCCAACTGCACCTTTCCTAATGGCACCGGTAACCCCTTCCACGCACTCCCGGCACTTAGCACTATATGGGATAACTTAAACTCCACCCTGAGCACCCACTGGGCGGCACCCGATGGCTGATTCTGCATCTGCGGCCAACGAGCATACTCCCATCTCCCTTCCAACTGGACCGGGAGCTGTACACTTGGTATAATCCAGGCTGGTTGCTTCCTCCTTCCCTGCCAAACTGGCCAAGAGCTAGGCATCCCCTTATACCAGGATTTGCAGCTGAGGCCCAAAGGGTCCCTCGATGTGGAGGGGCATCAAGCCTAGGGGGAAGACGAATGGCCTCCCCAGCGGATCATCCCATCCTACAGCCCAGCGACTTGGGCTCAAGACGGGAGTTGGGGATATCGTACCCCCATTTACATGCTCAACCCTATCAATCAGATTACAGGCGGTTTTACAAATAATCACCAATGACACGGCGACAGCTGTAGAGCTCCGCGCCACCCAACAGACCCAGATGCGGACTGCTATTTATCAAAACCGCCTTGCGCTGCACGACTCACTACCTGAAGAAGGCGGCGCCGGTGGCAAATTTAATCAGTCGGATTGTTCTCTACAAGTTGATGACACAGGCAATGCTGTCTCCGCTATTGCCACAAATACTAGGAAACTTGACCACGTCCCAATTCAAAAATGGGCAGGAAGGGGCCCTGAGGGCCTGTGTGGGGGGTGGCTCTTCACCCTCGGGGGATTTATGCGCTTATTGGAATGGACCTCCGGCTCCTCAGGACATGCCTCCTTTTCCTGGCAGTCTCCCCCTTGTCATTTGCTCCTCCTCTTCAATCATGGAGGCCACTGTAGAATGTAAAACTGCCGCTAAGGGCCTCATGTTCTGGAAATACCAACCCCTAGGCCAGCAGCCTGTTGGAGGAGATGATGCTCTCTAACCCACACGTGGGTTTGAGCATCAAAGCGGGGAATGTGGCAGAGGACCCTAGACAAAGGCTTTCCCGCACCACGTGGTCGCCAAGGGCTCTGCACTGTAGCAGGGAGCTTCAGACAAAGGCTTTCCTAGGCCGCGTGGCCATTAAGACTTCCACGTTGAACGTTTCAGAATTGCTACCTCACCCGGGAGCCAGTCAGGAACTGGCACAAGGCCGCATGCCCTAATAAGGAACCTTAGGTGCTAACCTGGAAACCTCAGGGGTCAGGCTCAGCCTCTGGAAGTGAACCCGCCGAGCCGGTGCCGGCATCAATAAACGCTGCTTCCCGAGCCTTGGCGTCTCGTCTCTCTGTCCGAGTCTCCCGCAACACACTGCTATTTATGTCTCTCCTGCCATCCTGCCTGCAGGTTGCATGTACCTGACGGAGGGCAGAACACACAGCGCTTGTGGGCTCCTGGCTGCAGAGTCGTGGGGCACCTCGGTTTAGGAAAGCACCTGATGCGGTTGGGATGATCTCTCTCTTGCCCCCTCTCCCTCACTCCTGCTCTTCTTCTTTTCTCTTTCGTCCTCTCTCACTCTTGGCTTTTCTGATCTGGCCACATTCCAAAGCAGGCACAGCCTGATCGTTTTCTCCAGAGTGACTGAGTGCTCGGACTGGCCCGGTCACAGGCACATCCTACCTTTCCTTTGGGGGACGGTGAGCTCCCCGAGCCCCACACATGGAGAGTTGTTCCTCCAGGAAATGCATGGTGTCCTCGCGGAGGGAGAACACACAAGTGGCCTTTGGCCTTGGTACTGAACTCAGGTTCGGTGCGGCTTGCCACCGAACAGTTCCAAAAACCAGAGTGACGAGAGTTGCTGAGGAGAAAAGTGCCCTTTATTCTAGATGCCAGCAGCTAGGGAAGATGGCAGACTCATAGCTAAAAAAAACTCCTTCCCAGAGCCATAACGCACAAGAGGTTTTATGGGCAGGTAAACGGGAAAGAACCAAGGAGAACAGGCCTCAGGCTAATGGGAAAGAACTCATCAGCTGGTGTTTTCTCAGGCTCAGGTCTGCCTTCATGTGCTCTTCCATCTCATTGTCCAGAGCCATCTGCGCAAAACCTACTAGGGAGTTGTCAAAAACTGCTAGGGAGTGGTGATCTTGGGTCCGCAGGTCCAGGTGCCTGAGGATTCAAGAAGCTGCTCTGTTCAAGTGGACAGGCTTGGTCATTCACAAGGTATGGGTAGCCTTGAAAAATGGAAGAGGGTTCTTCAGTTAATCAGGGAGAGGAGACACAAAGAGGAAACAGCTGAGTATCAGGATGGACCCAACTGCAAACGAGCTCAGTTGAATGGCCTTCTTGATCTCCCACATTTCACCCTTACAGCCTGAGGAATGTAGAGGACCAGAGGACCAGTGACTTGCCCCAGGCACGTGGCGAATCATTTCAGCCCTGGGCTTTCAAGTCAGGTTTCCCAAATTCTCAAGCCCCCTTGTTCCCCCTAGAACTGATCACCTTCTCATGATTATTTTTCAGGCTTTCCACTCACTCGGTGTGGTACAAGAATTTGGGGTATAGATAGGAATTCTGAGATGAGGGCATGGAGAAAGGCACAGAGGAGGGCCAAGGCGGAGCACGGCCCCCACTACAGTTGGGGTCCCAGCAGGAACGAGACTACACCCTTCAATTGGAGAACTCGAGGAGAGCTTAATAAAGGGATTATTTGCAAAAGGCAGGCAGGAAGCGGAGAAACCCCGAGGGAAAAACAGGGCAAGTAAGTGTGGGGCCTTTGACACCCCAATAGACGGAGCAGACCAGAGCCCACAAAGAGGGTCACATGGAGAGGGCCACCTTAGCAGAACCAAGCGGCCTTCCAGCTTGAAGTGACAACACAGGAAGGGCACCAGGGGAATCAAGTGCAGACCTCCCTAGCTCCCTCCCTCCGGTGTCTGGCCAGCACACCCCATTGCTGAACACAGATGCCAGAGGGCAAGGGAAACTGCTGAAGCAGCCGTGCGGGTCATCCTTTGGGGCACGGAGCACGGAGCAGAACGGTGGGGGTCGTAAACAATTACATTGTGTCTGCTGATGTCAAGACAGGCAGCACAGGCAGCAAGGCGGCCTTTAGGCAATCACACACACCTCCACCTTCTTCTTTCCCTCAGTCCCACTTCCTGCTTCCTTTTCCAACTGTCCTTCCTGTTGGAGAGCCTATCTGCTGCTGGAATTCCCACCCATTTGCAGGCTTCAAAGATGCCTTCATCAAGGTACTCTATGCTGAACACTTTTACTCTCCTCTGAGGAATAAAGCAGAAAATCAATTGGAAACTGTGGATCAACTTCCTAATTAGATTCCTAGACAAGGATTTGGTGTCTCTTCTCGGACTTTCCTGACACATCCGTTCCACTGCCTGTCCCACCTGCACGGGCAAGTCAGTGGATTTGCGTGGTCTTCGGCCAAAGGCAGCCACGGCCTTTCTGGACATCCTGGGAACACTGAGAATGCTGTCTCAGCACACCAGGAGGGATCACGGAAGTGATAGCAGGAGACCTGAGGTCAGGATGGACACAAGTGATGGTTGGTGTGAAGAATCCAATCTGGATCCTTGCACACAGCAGGGGCTCGAAAATGTCTGCGAACAGGAAAGGACGGTGAGCAGGGGGAGGGGAACGGGGGGACACAGACGGGACAGAGCTGAGCGCCAGGGCTGACTTGGACACTTACTAAGGCTGTGATGTGGAAGGTCTTTTTCTACCCAAGCCTCAGACTTTTTCTTTGTTTCTTTTGAACCTTCTAAATGCAAACACAATTCTAGTTGCTCAAGTTCTATCAGGAATACATAAATCAACACTGAGTGTGTCATGGCAGACGTTGATATACGAGAATTCTCTCCTCTCTCCGTGCTGTCCTGGCAGAAAAGAGGAATCGACACCCTCAAAAACAGAACTTCCCCACATTCGCTCTCTCCGGGAACCATCCTTGACCTATAAACCTTAATGCTAGAAGAGGGTTCTATACAAATGAATTAACATGTATGATCAGAGAGCCTCCCGGGATCTACTGAGCCCAGTAGGTTCCCAGCAGGCAAAAGAGCCTTCAGTCAGAAAGGGCCCTCATGCCAGCTACCTGGGTATGGATGGAAGCTGTCGAGATGGCAGTTGGTGTAGAGAGTGAAGGAGATCACAGGATGCAGGAACACTTCCTCCCAGTGGGATACTGCCCCCACTTGCCCCAAGTTCCTTCACTTACCCACTGGCCCTCCGTGCCTGGCCGTGGGCCTGGGCAGAGGATCCCCAAACACAGAGGGTGCCCATGGCTCTCATCCTTAAGCCTCCCTGCCCGGACGCCCCCAGGTCACACCTGAGACCAGTGCTGACCTTGTACTCCAGAAAGAGGGGGGTCTCCCTCCCTCTTGCTTCCCCCTGACGCATCCCCGAGCCCTCCTGTCACTCTCAGCAAGTGGCTATGGCCACACCAGGACCTGGACAGCTCATCAAGACCCTCCCTCCACGGCCCAAGGACTTCTCTTCGGAAAGGAAGACCCACTTGCTTTTCTTCTCGGGCTCCAAACCCCACCCAAATGTGGTTGCAGTAGAAAGTGCTGCAGGAAAAATCATTGTTTGAAAACACAAGTCTGGGCGCTGTGGGCTTACATCGGGTCCCGTGATACAACCTGTCAGCCTCAGTTCAACCTTGAGGAGATTCACACTCGTTCAAAAGATGAGCGAAACTTAGAACGAAAACACACTTTTATTTATTCTCTCATCTGCCTCTTAAGCACACACACACACACGTGATACACATACAACACAACACACATATACTCCTGAGGTGTGGTCCTCTGGCTTGCTGTAGGAAGATTGTAAGTAAAATGTCACATATGGGGCTCAGCCCCTTTCCAGTGATAAAGACCTTTTCAGTCTCTTTGCCTACTCATTCTGTAGTGGAGACAGAAGCCTTTGGAATGGTGACACTGGGTGGTGTGACTTCAAATCACAAAAGTACTATGTAGAATGGGAAGTTGTTCTCCCAAGGGACAGGTGGAGACTCGAAAATGACAGCCTAGGGTGTGGTGTCCATAGGCTCCGAGTAGTCAACAGGGTTTGCAGAGGTGCTCTTTGCTGGAGCATGGGTGACCACAGGAGTCACAAGGGGCTGGTTGCAGCCTACTGCAGCAGTGGCGACAGAGGTTTTCTTGTTCAGATCACCGCAGGTCCCTGATGTGGGCTGACGGTTGATTTGGGGCCAACTGCATAATTCAGCAACAAGCACAGGTATTTCAATGCAGGTTGGCTGCATCGTTCGGAGGAGCCAACTAAGTTTGGGGGGTTTTCCACCTGGCAGTATGCGTGGACAGGTCTGCGAGATATTGGAAAGCGGCATCGGGGAACTGCAACTCGGGCAGGTCTGCGAGATCGTCAACCATCATGGGGGAGCTCTGAATAGGACAACATCCAAAGGCAGGGTAGTGTCCATGTCGACGACATCAGGAGATGCAGTCCGCTCACCGGTCTTATTGGCAGATGCGGTGGAGACGGTTGAGGTCACAGCAGGTGTGGACACGTGAGAAACAGGAGATGTAGTTAGCACTGAACGTAAGCGGCCTCCATTCAGACTAGGTGAGATTGCCAACATGTGATTAGAACGAAGAGGTGGCATAGAATGAGGACATTGACGAAGAGAAAAGCGAGGGACTATGTGTCCTTTTTTCTGATCAATATTTTGTAGTGGAGGAGGTGTAGGAACAGGCAAGGTCGGGGGCCTGGCAGATGGGTCAGCCGAGTTGGCAGTAGCTGGGACCTGAGCACTGTGAGGAGCCGGGGGCAGGGAGTCTGCAGCCACCCCAGCTGGGGTAAAAGAAGGGGCAGACTGAGTAGCACTGCTGTCCACCTTGACCTTCGTTTTGTCTTCCATGGTCTTATTCCATTGACAAGTAGGGTTCTTCGAGGTTTCGTGATTTGGGTCACTAGCTAAGCAAGGGTGCTTATACAGGGCCGGCAGCTGCCCTTGACCCTCCATCAGTGGTGGCAGGGGTGGAGAAGGTGGCTTGGCAATTTTGCGCTTGCCGCGCCCTCTGCTGGCAGATACCAGTGAAGAGCTCACCGGTGGGATATCTGCAGGCTTGTTGCTGGGCATCTCTTTACCCGGTTTGTGTGAGTCTGGATAGATCTGCGCATGGTCTTCCCCCGGAACTTCCTCTGTGGCTCTCTCTGGCAGCACAGAGCAGCAAGGGGTTGGGGCAGAGAGCCCTGCTGATTCGGAATCAGGCTTTGGAGGCGGCAGGGCATCTCCAGCAGGGCTGCCTGAGCGCGCCGCCACCTGGCTTTCAGCGGGGGAGCTCATGGGAGCCTCCAGGGAATTCTCGCTCAAGCTGCATTCTGGGTGCTTGGGACCACTGTCCGCAGGCTCAGGACTACCCTTGTCAGAAATGGCAGCTCCAGTGGTCTTCGGTAGATCCCCATTACTATGGTGGTTGTTCTGATCGTCCTGTCCCTTGGTCTTCACATGATCCTGTTCACGGTTTGCAAGCACTTTTTTGGGGGTCTTTTGGATCTTCACTCTTATGTCCTTTGAGTCAGGCTGTAGGACGGTACTGGTTAGTCCCTGCAGCCTACGCTGGACTATCTGCTCAAGTGCAAACCAGGGGTGAACAAAATTTCGCACTGGAAGAGGGATTCTTGTGGTTCCCGAGGGTCCGGGATGTAGGATGATACTGGTTAGCCCCTGCAGCCTACCCTGGACTACCTGCTTAGGTGCAAACCACGGGTGAACAAAATTTCGCACTGCAGGAGGGATCCTTGTGGTTCCTGAGGGTACAAACAGGCTGGAAAGCAACCGAACAGGCTTCTTTCGAGGGTCACTCCAGTTCTCCCGCGCCCGCAGGCTCCCCACAGAGGAATACATGCCCGGCGGGAAGACATGCACCTGCCTCCTCGGGAGGTGCAAGATGGCTGCTCGTATCCACACGCAATCCGGGGGGCTGCGACCAGGGTGGAGGACTTGCGCGGGAGCAGCAGGTTGCTTCCTGTCAGGGGGGCCATAGTTGCTGCGGACTGGGCAAATCACCGGGCGACCGCCACCAGGGAAGTGACGGCCGGTGCCAGGCAGGGAGCGGCCGTCACCAGGGAAGCTGCGGCCGCCCCCAGGGAAGGTGCGGGGGTCCCCAGGGAGGCTGCGGGGGTCCCCAGGGAGGCTGCAGGGGTCCCCAGGGAGGCTGCGGGGGTCACCAGGCCTGGTGCAGCTGTCCCCTGGCAAGCTGCGGGCGTCACCAGGGAAGGTGCGGACGTCATCAGGCAAGGTGCGCCAAAAACCAGACGAGGTGCGATGGCCAGCAGGGAAGGCGCGACGACGGCCTCCAGGCAACGTGCGACGACGGCCTTCAGGCACGGGAAGGCGGCGGAAGAGGCGGTGGAATAGCAGCAAAACATTGCTAAGAAAATTGCCCATCTAGAGCCAGTTGTGCGCCAAACAAACCCAAGAACAGAGTAGCAAACACGGAGCGCTTCTCCTCGCTGCTCTGTCTTTCTCGAGGTCTAGCACGCACGGAGCGAACTGTCCAACCAGGCGCTGTGACGTTTCCCTAGAACACAACACCAGAGAGAGAGCTGCACTCACATGTCCAACACGTGAAGAGAGGTCAAAGGCAAGGCCTCAAAGGCCAGCTAACCCCTTCTGGACTTCCCAGAGCCTGGGACTTCCTGCAGGGGGTTACAGGTGTTTGGCACCAAACGGGTCTCCATGCGGGGACCATTCCGAGGCCCCCTGCACCACCGAGGCCCCATCCGCCACAGCTCACCCTGCCTGGCAATGTCTCTGAGGGCCTCCCCAGGTCCGGGAGGCCCAGCCTGATCAAAGGCAAGGGCTGGAGCGACCCAGATCAGCCCGAGTGTGGCCCACCTCCTCCGGGGACACCCAGCTTCTATGTGAGGCCTGGAAGCCATGGCCGCCCCTCCTGCCGGCGTCACCAGCCAGGTGCACAGGTTTCTGAGGCGTGAACGGGGAGCCCTGACCTGACGGGGTGCTGCACTTCACCACATCCCTTCCTGTCAGGCAGGATCTTCCTTCACTTCTTTTGAGAAACGTGCTAAAACAACATTTCAACAGGCCGTTTTCCAGGTCATACAGTTGGCAGCGGCTTAGCCAGGATTCAAACCCAGCTTGTGTGATCACAGTGTTTCCTAATCCCATATTCATCACGTGTTATCATTTTTCTCCCTCCTTCTTCCCTCCCTCCCTCCATCTCCTTCCCTTTCCCCCGCCTCTTACCTTTCTACCCCTCCCCTGGCCTGGATAGCTTAGGGAAAGTGCTTACTTCTCTAGTTTCTAGCTCCCCATAATGTGCCAAGTTATACCCCTGCATAGGGATGTTCTCGCAGCCAAAAGCTTTCCTCCCTCTTTGAAGCAACTCGATCTTCACTTTCTCAGGCAATTCTTCACTATGTCAAAACCCCATTAGGTCTCTCATCCTTACTAAGTACCTTCTGTTAGCAGCTCTGAATCCATGTGCAATGATCAGATGCTATACGGCCAGACAAATTTAACCTGCAGAAAAAGCAATTGTTTGCTCTTTGAGTTCTTGGGAGGAAACTACTCTATGTATAGGTCGTGATATTATTAGCAAAGATGCACCTGTGACTTTAAGTATGCAACAGAAAATGAATTAGATAGAAACGATACAAGAAAGCATCAAAAACACCCCAAAACAAAACAAAAAAACAAACAAACTTCCCTGAATACTTTATACCAACCACAGTTTAGTCATTAAACAATCAATGTTTTCATTGTCCCTGTACTAAGTTGTTCTCCACAAAATAGGGGCCTCAAATGGCATATTAGAAACTGTAGGGGATGGACTCTCTAGTTTGTTTCCTGGTAAGAAATATCCCTCACTCTGAAAATCACCGAGAAGAGACAAGGTTTCTGAGGAGATGGTGCCATCTGCCTCAACAATGTTGGGGCTGAAAAAGGTTGAAAACTATTGGTACTGCCAATATGAGTAGAAAGGAACTTCCTCACACCCAGGCCCCTGTCAAATATCTGTAGCAGTTTCATTTGGACAACTTTCCTTAATAAGGTCCCAAAGGGACTTTTATTGCTTCTATATCTAGCGGTTGCTTCTCAGATCCATTTTGGGAGGAATTATATGCCTGGAAATTTCTTGTCTGAAAAATATTTCAGTAAGCTAGTGGCAAATATCCAGTTAAATTACTTCATTAACATCTTCTACAGAGGTTAGACAAACTATCTTACTTTTTTTGAATTAAAATTTGTTTGTTTGGAAAAGGGCACGGTTAAAAAACAAAAAAAAAACTAATAAAAATTAGCTGTTTAAAAGATACTGATGTGCTCTTCATTTTAATAAAGCAAAGTTCTGGCAAACCCAACATATATCTGACTACTTTTTCCAAATAGCTCCTACAAGGTAATCAAACTATAGAATGCTGTCTGCAGTGTTGGCTGAGAAACAGTGTATTTCTAGATCAAATGAGAATATCAAAAAGCAGCATGCTTGGGTCATGAAAGAATGTTTTCATGAGTTGTATTCTGGCATTGGCGTTTGGGATTACATTTAAAAATGCCAAAAGCACAACGTTTCAAAGTCCGTTATTACATTTACTCTAAGATATTATAGATAATGGACTATTCACTGGATCATTCAATGGTCCTCATTTAAAATGCAGGAGGCAAGTTTCCTTTCAATTAAGGGCTAGGAAAAGCTTTTCTCTTCCTCAGAAATCTAGGATTCCCCACAACTACACACACACACACACACACACACACACACACACACTTAAGCACAATCATTGAGCTCAGTGTTTCTTTGTAAAGTATTATGACCTTTTAAGCAGAACAATTTTTGGAATGTGGGATGTCCCTCTGCCCCATGACAGCCATTTAGGATCCCTGGCCTCCAGACATTAATGGCAGTTGGGCACTCAGTCACTGCGACCACCCAAACTACCCACACACATTTCCAAATGCGCTAGTTGAGAAAAAATGAAATAAACTTTTTACTTGTATTGAAAGTCAATCAAATTTGTCATTCAAAAAATATCTGGGTAAGAACACCACGTCCTACATATATGCATTCTAACTTTCTCTCCTAGTCTTGAAATTCCAGTTTAATTTCTATTTCCCTTGATCCTGAATTTCATTTTGTATTCTGATTATTGTTAAGACAATCCAAATCCTGTGTTGAATCAGATGAGGTACAAGTAAATAATGCAGTGCGACAGTTCAGAGGCATCTTCCCCTGTTCATTCTTAAAAGTATTACTAACTTGAAACAGAGTACCAGTGTTTTATATGCATTTTTAACTCCTAAACATCAAATGGTAGGAAAACTACTCCTCAGACTTAGCTCTTCGGAATTAATAAAGGACAGATAAAAAGCCAAAGAGAAGATAATATTGTTTAAAACCTTTGATGAAAGTGACGTGTAAATAGCATATTTATATGAAGCCTTATTTTTATACAACAGTTTTAAATGAGAAGAGTCCATAGGAAGTATTTATTATTTTTAACATAAAATTTATTTCACTAAAAAAATAAATTTTATATGAAGCTAGTTTGAGTCTGTCCTCATTTTAGATTTGAGGATATCTAACCATACACTTTCCTTTTACCCTATGAGCAGAAGTGGTTTTGGTTCTGATTTCAATGCATGATTTCCACAGAGTCCTCATTTTGGGCAAAGTTGTTAAGCAACTCAACATTATTGCATTCAGATATCGATTTGTCTTTTACGAGAAAACATCTTCAGTGACAACAGTGTGACTCAAAGTGTTCTGTTTTCTGCACTATTTGTATGTCACTTATAATCTTAGTAGCTACTTTTGAGGGCGTACTTAAAGAAGATATTATTAACTTCTGTGAAAAGGAGATAAAAACTAAAGATGACATTACCTTATGTGCTTCTTACCTTAGAAGTGCAAACGGCTATGTTAGCAGGAAGTTGGGAAAACTGCTTCAATTCAAATACATCATGGGCTGTCCATCGGCTCATGTGATTTTCAGCTTTGCTTGATTTAATCACATTCTGGCTGGAGTGAATGTAAGCCACTTCCTGAACACCATCTAGGAGGTAATTGATGTTTATTAAGCAACGTCTGATTATAAAGCAATATTGCTCCACGTACACTTTAAAACTTATCGGCCATACGCTAAAAAACTATTATGCTTGTTTCGTTTTGAATCCTCAGGAAAAACACTTATTAACATCACAGTTTTTAAAAAACTGAAAAAAGAAAGAGTTCACATAGGTTAGTCTAGGTTAACTTGGAAAGGACTTCTCTCTCTCATCAATATGAGAGCTTCTGGGATTCGGTAACAGTCTTTAGATTCAAACCGGAAGTGATGATTTGGCCAACAGTCAAGTCAGGGTGGTTCTGATTTTTTTTTTTTATTTGTTGTTCCACTTGATGTAAAAAGCATCTTTACTAATTTAAAGAGCAGTGCTAGCCTCATGTGTTCCTTTAAACACATACTTACTTGATCACAGTGATGGAGTGGGAGCGTGGGGTTTATGACTAGGGAGTTGCGTTTGGTTGGCTTTGTTCAGCTTTACTGTTTGTGTTTGTCTTTTTTGTACATATGCCCAGAGAATGTCAAGATTGGGAGGGTTGTAGGAAGTGAAAAAAATGAACTTACAGCTTTTATCTGAAAGAAGTTTAGAAAATGGACATCTTGTATTACTTTGCTTCTAGGCACGAACAATTTAAATTGTGGTCACAAAGAAGACAGCTAGAAGTAAGGTCTGTAAAACCTCCCTCAAACAGCTCTGGCAATGAACCTCGATTACGACCTTCGACACTTGTGCTCTTTTGGTCCTGAGCCTCTCCCAACCAGAA